ATGGAAGTTTGTTAATTTGCCTACCACCAGGAAAATAAGCAGCAATTACAGTAAAATTCAAAAGTTCCTGAGGGGCTTTCCTGGTGGCGCAGTGGTTGAGAGTCCGCCTGCCGATGCAGGGGACGCGGGTTTGTGCCCCGGTCCGGGAGGATCCCACATGCCGCGGAGCGGTTGGGCCCGTGAGCCATGGCCGCTGGGTCTGCGCGTCCGGAGCCTGTGCTCCGCAACAGGAGAGGCCACAGCAGCGAGAGGCCCGCGTACCGCACAAACAAGCAAAAAAAAAAAAAAAAAGTTCCTGAGGCCAGGTGCTTTGCTCAGACTGGGGATACGGCTCACTCTTTGCCACACAAACTGTATTGTTGACTCCGCCATTTAAGCAATATGAATTCTGGCTTCTCTCACTCAGAATAATTTTAGTTTCCTCATTTCCCTTAGCTTTCCCTGCCTGGATCTCATGCTAAAATTAACCTCAAGGTTGGAGGAACTGGAAAGTTCAGTACCAACCAGAAATGTTTTCCATCTTCTGACCAAACCTCAAATACTGAACATTCTAACATTCGAGGAGGGTTTGTTGGAGTTTCTCAGCTTTACCCTCCTGGTTTCAAATGGCACCAGAAGCAGAAGAGCCAAAATGCTGTAAGGAGAAACTATTCTAAGCAAGATTCCTGGCCCAAGGCAGGCCTGAGAGGATCCAGATGCATCTGAAAGAAGTAGCCAAACTCCTGGGTGCCTATGGAAATGGGGCCTCTAGGCTCTGGATGGTTTGGCGGTTACAAGTGGGTGCAGTGTAAGGCTGGGTCCTTTCTTCTGGACCAGAGCGCGGGTGTGACAGCGGCAAGGCCATGGCTGGAGAGCAGAGGCAGGCAACCGGTGGCCAGGAGGACAGTCCACCATGGGACTCCTAAGACCACCTGCAATGTTGTGATGTGCTGGAGGAACTCTCAGGGTGAATGTGCTTCCAAAGTGCAAGCTAGGTGAAAACTGAGAGTCTCATGCCCCTGGAGGAAAAAGAAGCCTTCCGTTTACATGCATGGGGCTGTCGGCCTGGCAGCGGGAGGGCACGGGAACCTCCTACACTGTGTGTCTGTCAAGCCTCAGACTGCACACGTGACCCGAACCCAACACTTGAGCCAAGAGTGACAATCCAAGAAATCTCAGTCTTGAAGGACATGAACCATGCCTCTTGGCGGTGTCTGCTGTCTAGAAATATCCAGGGTTTACAAAATTACGCCAAGGTAGCAAGGTAGAAAAGTCAGACCTTTCAGAAAGTTCCAAGGAAAAAAAGCGATCTCAAAGAATGTAGAAAATTATCATATTCTTTCTTTACCAAATTCCTACATTTTCAAGGCTTCTCTCTGAGCTACCTTTCTCAGAGTTTCATGTGTGTAGGAATGCCCTGGGAAATCTTATAAAGCTACTGGATTCTGGTTCAGTGGGCCTGCGGGGGAGCCCAAGGTTCTGACTCCTAACAAATTCCTGTGTAACGTTAGTAATGCGGGTCCACAGGCCACTCTTGGAGTAGCGAAGTAGTTTAAAGTCTTATATTTGAAACATCGGTCATCAAACAGCTTTTTACACCATTAGACGGCTTTCATTTGTTGGGTTGGTTTCAATGCATTTTTTTTAAAAATCCGATTTTCCTATTTCCCCATTGAGCCATACATCTTCATCTAGGGAAGGTTAAGAAATAAATACTGAAACTCTTGCCTGACTATAAAACAAAGTCTTACATTTGAATTGTACTTTTATCCAGAGGGGCTTGTGCATAAGACAGATGTGCCCCACCGGGGACGCCACCATGAGGGTCCAGGAGAGAAAACCTTTAACGTTTGGGCCTGCAGAGCTCTCCAGTTGTTTTAAAATCTAGGATTTGCCAAGAGCAGATTATATGCTTTCCATGAAGCTCTGACGTCTATGTCCCCGTTTAAAAATGATCACTGAGGTTATTATCAGCATGGCATGGAAGTTTCTGGATAGCACCTCTGTTGGAACACAAAGATTTAGAAAATAATGGAAATGTGTGCCGCGGAGAGATTATTGACAAGAGATTATTTACTTGTCCTCCTGGGATTTTAGACTATATACAGTTTGGGGTGGGGTGGGGTGGGGATCTTCTTTGCCTCCATTTCATAGCCAGAGAATGTTCTTAACCATAAACACGTTCAGAGACAGTGTACGGTAATCATGGAATGAAAAAGCCTAACAGAACGTTTGGATTGGATTGGACGGTACACAGAAGCCTATACATTAATGATGAGGTTACACAAATGTGCATCTTCCCACCTTGGCCAGTATTTTTATAGAACCGTTAAAAATGACACCTGAGCATATTTGCCCCCCTAACAGAAGCTGTAGACAAACTGAGCGGGGATGAAAACTGCCATTCAATTACTCTGCAAAGCCACAGCTGCTGTAGCCGCTTGGGTAAAATTCCCAAGCCAGCAGCCCAGAGTCTGAGTCACTTGAAGGAAGTAGGACAGAGGGTGTGGGATCAGGGCACAAACTTAAAGAATCCCGAACGGTTCTAGCTGAGATACAGTAGAGTATCCCCCTAGGCGGTTCACTGATGACACACGTGTCCTTTCGTCTTGGGCTCCTAAGGAAGAGAGAAGGCCAAGTTCACCACCAGCTGGGTGAGTCCTTATTATCGTCATGACTTGGAGGTTGCCCAGAAAAACCCCAACTGTGGCCTCAGCGAGCCGTCAAGTTCTGTTGTTGGTTGTCACGTCAGATAACCCGGAGAAAGGCAGCTCAGGGCCGGCGTGCAGGCCTTCAGACTCTGCCCCCTGGTGCCCCATGGAAACCCCAGCCCAGATGATTACAGCAAACCTCGAGGCCACAGCAAATCCCAGCCTTACTGTGATCTTTAAACTTGACCTGTCCTACGAAGACCCCATGGGAAAGATACGTTTTTGGCTCCAACTAGGCCCACAGAGGAAAGCCAAGAATTTGGGCATCTAACTGACACATCCAAACCCTCCCCTCAAGCATCTGGACACGGAAGGCTAAAATCATCTGGGGAGTTCCTAAAACGAGGTAGCCAAAGGATTGAGCTGCATCACCACTCGAATTTCTAAGTCGTTATTAACTCTCAGCCGACTCTGAAGTGACAGCTGCATGTTACAGCGTGGAGCTCCTAGGATCCTGCCAGCCAGTATTCAGTGTGGCAGAGAGAAAAGAACCTGATATGGGGTTTAACCAGCCGCGACTTTATCAGGGAGCCCAGAAACATACTGTTAATTATCTTCACAGAGGATTTTCCTTGAGCGTTCTACGCAACACGCATGACATTGAGATCTTCATAAACTTCATAAAAGAAATACACACATTATTACTCTTTGAAATATTAATGAGGTGTCAACCTTTGCCAAGCTAACGTCACACGAGTCTGGGAGAAAGCAGTCTCTCGAGTTTCAATTCCTGCTCATGTCAAAACAGGAGTTAGTAAAAATCATGTCTATTCCTTCTAAAAACCCTGCGCCATGGCCTTTGAATGTGTTATCCCTGGTGCGGGGAACGCAATTGAAAAGATGAAGGGAAAACCTCAGGAGCTGTCCTGATAGTACAGACTTTACAGAGTGCCTTTGCCGGCTATCACAGACCAGCTTGGAACCCAGGGTTGGCATTTTAAAACCTCTTGTCTCATAGTTTCTCTTGACCGTGTGCATTGAAACTATATGCAGAATGCTGTGGATGACGTATGTGGAACAGAGCAAAAGAAATAAAGTCATTAATGGGGAAAGGGGATGCTTATTTTGGAACTTCAGATCAATATTTGATTTGTTAGTAGGTAAAACCAATGGGCAGGAAAAATAAATAAATATGTGTGCGCACAGGATGGCTGGCCCACGTGCAAAATTAGCCTATTTTTAGCACTTCCAAGCCGGCATGTCTTCTTCCTAAGGTAGAGGATGAGCTGTATAATATTCTTTCATCAGCCTTTCGCTCTGGAGGATCACCGCCTCTGGTTCCTCTATCTTTTGTGAGGTCTTCTAAATGCTCTCCAAGTACAGTTACGGTAGTCCTGGGCTGAGTTTTACCTAGAGGTATAAATTAGCCTACTGATTTGAGTTGAAAAGGCAATACAGCGATCTTTCATGGGTGAGAACAAAAAGTAAACAGTTGCCAGATAGCCACTGCTTGGACCCAAAATACAGAATCTCTCTTTTCTTTGTTTTCCTTTAGCTTCCTAAGTTACATGTGTGTGTATGTGTGTGTAAGAAAGTACTATAATTTTATCTCTTTATTGAAAAGATGTCCAGTTAGCAGGAAGAAAACCACAAACTTTTGGTTTTATTAAAAGGGTCTTTTGATCACAAAATTAAAATGCTTTCCTTTTTGCAGGTTTTAAAATACCAGTAAGTTGCTAGACCCCCTTAGGGGTCAGACTCTCATCAAAACATTTCCTTCTAGTTTTTTTTTTTTTTTTTTTCCTTTCCTAGTTTCACTTATGCCGTGATCGTCTTTACCAAGGGCTGAATTCTCCTGAGCCAGTGCCCAGCATCTTAAATGATGAGGTCCACATCCTGTCTGAGCAGCAGCCCGATGCTAGGGTTGAATTACTATTGAATAAGCAGCAATGAAATCTTTATCAAAATAATCAGGAGTTCCCAAAACCACAAATAACAACAACAGGACTCAAGTTGTACTAAATCAGCAAAGACCATTGATAAAATAAGAGACTGAGTCACTTTCTTCTACAGTCCTCTCTCTCTCTCTCTCTCTCTCTCTCTCTCTCTCTCTCTCTCTCT